AGAATTTAAGTAACTTATGTCAATATTTAACCTGATTCTTCTATCAATTAATTTTAGCAATACTGAAAAAAAGTTAGGTTGTTAAGAAGGATGGAAAATTTTAATTAATGTTAAAGTTTTAGATATTTTAGGTTTATCATTCATCAGGAAGGAGGGATTGATGAAGACATTGTTCATATAATAAAATTTGGATAAAATTTTACAAGGCAGTTGTAAGGTTCCAATTGCTTCAGTGATTAGCATGATGGGTTGTTAGAGCATTTAAAATATTTAAAAGAGATTTAAGTGCTCTTTATTTAACTATAGTCTTTTCCATATAGCTATTGGTGAGAAAAGATCCTTGCAGCCAACTCCATGTAACTCGGACATTATGATTTGTTGCTGCTGCTGCTGCTGCTGTTTCCGAGACCTGTAATTTGTCTGTGTTGTGATTGCATATGCAAGGACTATTATATTAAAAATTAAATGTACTGGTAGATTTTGTATTTAAAACTATAAATCTGTTCCAAGCTCATGTACTGCTTTCTAATTCTCTCTTTAAGGATTAGCAACTGGTGCATGTTATCTACTACCATATTTTCTAATTCCGTTTGATGTTTTTGGGATCTTTAAGTGTTGGCGAGCTGCTTCTTTCTTAAAGCATAAGATTGATCACGAGGAATCACTTGCACTTGCAAAGAAGTATTTGAAGTTCGCATGCAATGAAGAGCAGGCTTCTAATGTTTATTCTAAATTAAGGATACTAAAGAAGAAATTTTTAGATCGAGACAATGTTATTATTAGCAAACATGAGCCCAGTTTATTAGAGCCTGGGTCATCAGTGTCAGGAAAATATCTTACTGGAGAACTTGCCTTGGAGATGACTTCAAATTCTACAGGATTTAGTCTTCATGAATTTGAGAAATGTGGACTTCAACAGAGTCCTCAAAGCCACAGTGTTCTTGAGCAACCAATGTTGCAGGAGCAGGAGCAAGTCCCTGTTCTTGAAACTTCTGCAGATCTGCATGAGAACCTTGGTTCTCTGAAGGCCAAACTGCTAAAAAAACAAACTGATTTGATTCACAATATTTGTTTGAGAAGGGAAGAAGATCTCCTCCTCAAGCAACAAGAAGAAATTTCAGAATTCCGTGTGTGCAAGGAAAAGTTGGAGTTGAATTTGAAAAGAGCACATCATGAACATTTGGGACATATTCTTGATTTGGTTATGGATTCAGCTGACAAAAATGACAAGATTAGAATGTTCAAAGTAGAGTTTGCAAAAAAAAAGGGTGGATTTGGGAAACACATGGATTGCCAATTTTTTAAACTTAAAGGCATGCAGTCCGTTGCAAGGGATAAGGAGCTACAGATAAAGAATCACTGGTTTGAAGAAGCTAAGGCTGGTAAACTAACAGAGACTTTTGATAGCATTCCTTTGTCAGAGTCTGGATTCAGGTTGGAGGAATTCAGAGGAGATCAAGATGATGTTCATGATGGTCTAGGGAACAGAATATATGACTCCAGGACATCTGTGCCATTTCAAAATAAGCATACTGTTGGGTCAATCACTGTGGGTCACTTGGTAACTAGTGGGTTGAGTTCCAAAAGCTCTGGAGGATCTGCAGTTTTGTCTCCTATAGGAGCTGGATGCCTGCCAAGTCAAATTGATACATCCACTTGTCAATCCAGTGGTTTGAATGAAACTGAAGTTTATGGACCAAGAGGGATGCATTTGGAAGTTCCATCAACTATTCCACCTCCGGAGATGGTTGTCATGCCCATGGAAACTGAAACTCTTGCTTCTGAGATTCCTACAGGTAAGGTTGATGATATGCCTATCAACTCTGGAACTGCAGCAACTGTTGAAACTGAGAAGCAAAGGGATGCAGAAAATTCTGATATGTCATGCTCGATAACTTGTCCATTGGAAAGCATTCGACAAGGCAGAAGTACAGATAATGGTGAGGTTGCATGCTCAGCAACATTTTTTCCACAAAATCTGGTAGACTCTCCTTCCTTCATACATGAAGTAACAAGTACTGGTTGTGAAAGTGGTGTTTCATCAAGTCAGGTGAGTTTTGTTAAACTTATGAGCATGTCAAAAAAACAGGTCTCTTAATTATATTTAATTTTACATTTTCTGGATAACAAGACTAATCAACTTGCACTCACTAATTGAATTAGATTTACTGCAAAAGGGATACCTTGTGAATTAACTTGTCTGTTTACATGACCTTGAAACAATTATAAAGGGTTTGAGGTGTTTGAGTAAATTGTCAGTAAATTTTACCGGTTCTATAAAAGAGGTAAGCTGCTATTAATTGTGTCACATAGATGGATGATAGATAAATCAATAGAGAACAAATTTTGACAGTACAAAATACAGCAAAATCGATTTGTTAATTTTCAGATATCCATTAAACAGGAGGTTAGGGGTGACATTTTGTTTGAAATGAAGAAAACCCATGTTTCCTTGGTCATAATCTGGCATAGCCACATTAGTTGAACATTCTGGAGCCTTGTTGTAAACAGGAGGGCAGGGATGCCTGCACTACCAGTTTGTTATGCACTTGCACATGCACATGCTTGTTCTTGTTCTAAAGATGGCAAACATATGTGTTGATCAACACAGCAGGGTCGCAATCCTTGCATTTATTGGCAATATGAACACCAAGTTTTTTATTACTCGCTTCAAAAAGAGTGATGAACATTTGAATACTTATAGAGTTATTAGAACCAGTGTAGTAAAAGACACTAAGGTGCCAAAACGCTTGAAGTGCTAGGTGTTCGCTCGAGCGAAGCGAGGTGGTCACAAATATTAAATTTTTAAAAAATATATGATTAATGAGAAATATGGTAACTAAAATAAAAATGAGAAATTACGTGAGTTCTAAATCACTTTATATTTCAAATATCACTACCAATATATTAAATTACATTCATTTAAAATATCAAAGTATATATTGTTTAAATCTAATAATAAAATGATAAAACAAGAAAATATTACCATTAGAAATTCAACAATTTCCCTTAAGAAAGTCAATGATCATCAAATTTATAGACTATAGACCAAGGTTCGCAATACCGTACCGTACCGGTATTTCGACTTGGGCTCGGTACCGGTACGGTATGGTATACCGAGTACTGTAGCACTGCTACAGAGCTACAGTAAACTACTACAGTGCTACAGTACCTCGGACCTGTAACAGTCGGTCTGCGTACCGGAAACCTGTCGGACCGGTACGTACCACCCGTACCGGGCGGTACGGCTCGGTACGGCAGACCCTGCTATAGACCATTATTAATAATGATTAACATGTTTACAAGTGAGAGAAAGAAACAAAGAGGAGAGGAAGAAGTAGAGAGAAGGGGGGTAGGATGTTGATTGTTGCTTGGGAGTGGAGGGGAAGATGTAGAGAGAAGGCGAAGAGGGGTGTAGCTATCGAGGAGGGAGAGGTGCTATCGGGGTTAGAGTAGGAGGATGGAGAGGGGGTTTGTTAGGATCGAAGGAGCGGGAGGATGGTGAGGGTGGCTGTCGTGGTTGGCAAGGGGCGATGGAGGAGGACAAGGTGAAGATAGCGATGAGCAGCGTAGGGGAGGGAGAGGGGAGTTGTTAGGGAGAAGGTGAGGATAGTAGGAAGGAGGAAGAGAGGGGTTGTCGGAGGGGAAATAGAAACAAATAGAGTTACCACGAGAAGAAGACACCACAGAGGTTCGCCTTATGCCCAGAAGTCACTCGTTGGAGGCTACTAGAGGGGCCGTCAACAAAGGAGGGATAGGAGAGAGAGAGGGGAAGGGCTTGTCGAAGGAAGACGACATTGTGCTAGAGAGGAAGACAATGGCACAATTGTCATTCATCGGAAAGGAAGGAGCTGTCGCCACCATTCGTTGGAGAGGAAGATGAAGTCATCGTCGTAGTTCGCTGAAGAGGAAGATGTCGCTGTTGTGATTAGGTTTCCAAAGGGGGCAAGGGCTCGTGCGTGTGGGGTGGGTGGGGGTTAAGATATGTTGACTCTAGTTCGATCGAACCAGAATCAAGAAACTAATATGTTTAGACTCGACCCATGCATTAATTGAACCATGCGAGTCAAGTGGTTCGATTGAACCAAAATTAAGAACCAAACACATGCATCGATTGAATCAGGTAGGCGCCTAGCCCGCCTAAGGCTTTGGCCCAAGCGTGTGCCTAGGTTGTGCCCAATTGAAGGCATGTGCCTGGACCTCTTCTTAAGTGCTTGGTCCTCACCTCGCTTGGGTGCCTAAGCGAGCGCCCGAGCGCCCTATGGCTTCCATGATTAGAATATATGTATATATATATCTTTTTTCTCACTAGAAAGTTAGATAGAGTTATATGTAAAAATTTTAAAGTTATACTTGGGGAAAGCTTCACGAATCAACATAGGTTAATGATATTAGATATTTATTGTAGAAATTGAAATGAGAAGAAGATATTAAAAACTTAGGACTAGATAGTAGAATATCAAATATAATAAATATAAGGATTTTTAAGAATAGGATGGACAGGAAGGCTGTTTGGAATTAAGATGGGGATAATGTTAATATTATTTGGACTATAATGTCCAATAAGATTAAGAATTTAATAGAGGAGATTTTTGATGAAACTAAATGTAGAAGTGTAGCTTTAAGAAAGAGTTGATGATGGTGTAGGAAGTTCAAAGAACAATTGTTAATAAAAAAATCATGCTTTAAAGAGATTGATAAAATTGTAAAAATAAAGAGAAACTTAGAAGATATATAGAATTTAAAAAGAAGCTAAAAGAGTTGTCTGTGTGGCAAGAGATGAATTTTATTATAATCTTTATAACAAATTATGTACTAAAGATAAGAAAAGATATATATCGAATTGCTAAAGGTTGGGCATGAAAGTATAAGGATTTAGGTAATATTTGATGCATTAAAGATTTTATTAATGAAATTAAGGAAAGATAAAGATTTTTTTATTAAGTATTAAATGAACATTTGAGAAATTACTTGGCTTAACGATAGATAATTGTGGTATATTTAGTAATCATATATTTGGTCTTAAAATTAGATCTAGTGAAGTAAAAGATGTCTTAGAAAATGAAAATAGATAAGAGTGTGAGACCTAGTCTGAAAAGGTTTAGGAGATCAAGTTATCATAATTTGATTAACTAGTATATTTAACAAAATTATGAGATTTAGAAAGATGCATGATGAATGGACGGAGAGCTTTATGTGTCAATTTATAAGAATTGGGGTGACATGCAAAACTTTGATGATTATAGAGGAATTAAAATCATGAGTCACACTATGAAACTTAGGGAAGGAGTTGCTGAAAGTAGGATAAAATTTGAAATAAATATCTTTGAAATCAATTTGGTTTTATGCATGGAAGATCAACAATAGAAGCTATTTATTTATTGAGATATTTAATGAAAAAGTATTGAGAGAAAAAAAAGATTTGTATATGGTTTTATTAATTTAGAGAGTCTACGATAGAGTTCCTAGAGATTTATTATAGCAAATTTTAGAAAAGAAGGGTGTATCTATTAATTATATTAATGTTATTAAGAATATGTATGATAATGTAGCCACTAGTCTTAAAATTAAGAGAGTGTGTTTAGTGAGTTCCTATTAGTATAGGATTAGAGTTATGGAGGCAATCATTAGAAATTAAATATTTTAGATTAAGTCGAATAAAACTAAATATATGTAATACAATTTTAGTAATATTGGGAATAAACAAGAGGTATAGTTAACTTGGATAGGCAAGAAGTTTCGTAAAAGCTTTTGGTACTTTGGTTAATTATTCAATAACATGGAGATATCGATGAAGATATTACTCATAAAGTAAAAGCAGGATGTGTAAAATGACGAGAGGCATTACGAGTCATGTGAACATTAGATTTTTTTTTGCGATTAAAAAGGAAGTATTATAAGTTGTTAGATATGCAATACTTTATAGATTTGAGTCTTGGATAGAGACAATATATACAAAAAGTTTGTGTTGTTGAGATGAGAATGTTAAGGCGGATGGATGGAGTTTCTAGGCAAGATAGAAAAGAAAATATTTTTATTTACAAACAATTAGGTATCTTTATAGCTTTAATAGAAGATAAAATGAGAAAGAATCATTTAGAATTGTATGAATATATGTTTAGGAGACCTATAGATCAGTGATTTAAAAAGCGCTAGGTGCCAAAAGGCGCCAAGGTCCAAAAACGCCCGAGGCGCTAGGCGCTCGCCCGAGCGAAGCGAGGCGCTAAAATATAAAAATATATAATATAATTAATAAATATAATTATTTAAAATTTTAAATAAAAATATGCTATTAAATTAAGAAAATCTATTAGCAGTATTAAAAATTAATCATTTCAAATAAACTTAATATTAACAGTATACTGTATACTGAGCCTGCTGACTTAAAAACGAGGAAGCAACGGCGGCAGCAGCGAGCAACGACAGTGGCAGCGGGAAAGGGAGCGGGAGCGACGAGCAGCGGGAGGCGCGAGCGGCGACAGCGTTTGCGAGCAGCGACAGCAGGAGCAGGAGCGGTGAGCAACGAGAGGCGCGAGCGGCGATAGAGGCAGCGTTTGCGAGCAGCGAAAGCGGGAGCAGCGATAGGAGCGACGAGCAGCGGGAGGCGCGAGCGGCGATAGAGGCAGCGTTTGCGAGCAGCGACAGCAGCGAGCAGCGAGATCGGGATCGGGAGTGGCAGCGGCAGCGGGTTAGGGTTGGGTAAGGGTTAGGGTTGGCTAAGGGTTATATCGGTTTAGTTGGTTCGATTGAACCAACTAACCAACCGAACCAGACCTAAAATCCTGGTTCGGTCGCCTTGGTTTACCCAGGCGCTCGCTCGAAGCGCCCAGCGCCTGGGCTCGGGCGAGCGCCCAGGCAGCGCCTGTTTGAAGCGTGCCGCCTGGGAGATTAGCGAGGCGCTCGGGCCTCGCCTTGCCTCGCCCGAGGGCTTAGGCGAGCGCCCGAGCGCCTTTTTCAATCACTGCTATAGATGCGATGGCTAGAAGAGATAAAATGATTACTATTAGTGGTATGAGAGATAGAGGAAGATAAAAAATATTTTGATAGAAATATAAATAAATATTTAAGTATTTTTAACTTAACTAAAGATATGACCTTTTTCATATGTCAATGATGCCAAAGGATCAATGTAACCGACCTAGTGATTTAAAAAGCGCTAGGCGCCAAAAGGCGCCCGAGGCGCTAGGCGCTCGCCCGAGTGAAGCGATGCGCTAAAATATAAAAATATATAATATAATTAATAAATATAAATATTTTAAATTTTAAATAAAAATATGCTATTAAATTAAGAAAATCTAAGATACAAAATCACAATGTTAAATTAACAAAAAATTTCAAATAAATAAAAATTAACAGTATTAAAATCAAAATAATATATTATTAATCTATTAACAGTATTGAAAATTAATCATTTCAAATAAACTTAATAATATTAACAGTATACAGTATACGTTTACTGTTAATAGGAAGTGTAAAGGGGTGCTGAGCCTGCTGACTGAGAAACGAGGAAGGCGGCAGCGGCGAGCAGCGGGAGCGGGAGCGGCGGGAGGCGCGAGCGGCGACAGCGGTAGAGTTTGCGAGCAGCGACAACGGCGAGCAGGAGCGGGAGCGAGAGCGGCGAGCAGCGGGAGGCGTGAGCGGCGACAGCGGCGAGCAGCGAGATCGGGATCGGCAGCGGCGAGGGTTAGGGTTCGGTTGTCACTTATATCAGTTTTAGTTGGTTTGATTGAACCAACTAACCATCATAGACCGAACCGGGACCGAACCAGGATTTTAGGTCCTGGTTCGGTCACCTTCGTTAACCCAGGCGCTCGCTCGAAGCGTCCAGCGCTTGGGCTCGGGCGAGCGCCCAAGCGACGCCTGGGAGATTAGCGAGGCGCTCGGGCCTCGCCTCGCCTCGCCCGAGCGCATAGGCAAGCGCCCGAGCGCCTTTTTAAATCACTGAACCGACCTCAAATAGTTGGAACTATATGACTTTATTATTGATTTTGTATAAACACAAGTTTTTAATGATCACTAGAATTCTAGGAAGCACATACATGAGAATTTCTTAAATGTGACCATATTATACATATGTCAAACATGGATAAGTATTGGATATGGCAGAAAATATGTCCAACATGTGGGCTCCCATCAAGTGTACTGAAAGGAAAATAAGGGGACTTTGCCTCAAAATTTTTTGTTTTGTTCTCCATAGTCCAATAAGCAATTGGTTGATGGACAAGATGGAGGTGGTAGAGAGACCCTGGCATTTTTTAGGCTGGCTCTGCTGTTGATGTTGCTCTGGTTTCTTCATGGAGCATCTTGCAAGCTGATTCATTGATTTCCCTTTACATGTACCAAAGTGAACAGTTTCTTGGCCATAACTAGAACTAGAGGGACACTGGGTTCTGCAGGGAAGAGAGCACTGTGATGAGTTGGGATTGTTACTTCTTTTCCCTGTGTTTGACTGAATATATAAACCATCACATCTGTAATGGGTGTGGCTTTGAGGTTGACTTGTGGCCTTTGGTAGCTGCACTGTATGACTTCCATAGCAAGTTTTAAGTAACCTTTTAAGACCTTCCCCTACAGATATTAATAGTTGATACATGCTAGTATAGAAAGTAAAGGTTTAACACAAAAGACTAAGAAATAATAGTAATATGAGATACATACACAGCTACAAGTACTGGTCTATGCTTATTGTTTGTTACGTGTATGATAGTTATGAAATATGTTGTTAAACAAAAATAAGAATAGAATCTGTAAATATAGTTTTGCTCGCTGTGGACATCTCATGCCATGCCCTTAATTATTTCTTAGAATATGTGTGTCAGCTCATCTGTTCTGTGTCCCATGTACGTGTCTATGGTTCTTAGCTACAAGTGAAACATCTTTGCGTGTAAGAATTGCAATTGAACATCTCATGTTTTGCAAATTATAAAAGAAAGCAAGATGGACGAGATCTTGCATTCAGACCATTATTCTGTTTCATCTCAGAAGGCTATACATTACCATTAATACTTATACCAGTACTTAATGTAAATGATTTAATGTTAATTATTATTAGCATATATCAGTAATGTAAATGATTTAATGTTAATTATTATTAGCATATATCAGTAATGTAAATGATTTAATGTTTCAAACATTAATATTTTCTAGACAATTATACTTATGATACTAAATAAAATGGAAGTTTTAAGCCTAAATGGGTTAGAACTTTTGAACTTTTGACTATATTTATTAAATGGATGTTGTCATGCTTTTAGATCATTGGCTATGTAAGTTATTGCTTGGACCTTGCCACCATTCATGAAATACAACTTCCAGTTCCATTTTTAATTTGGGTATAGTGAACTGAACTACTTTGAAGCATGATCTGCAGTACCGAACTGTACTGCCCAGTACGGGCGGTACGTACCGGTCTGACAGGTTGCCGGTATGCGGACCGCTTGTTACCAGTCCGAGTGCACTGTAGTACTGTAGCAGAGCTACAGTAATCGGCACACCTGAGTATACCGCTCGGTACACCTGGGTGTACCGCTCGGTATACCATACCGTACCGGTACCGAGCCCAGGTCGAAACACCGGTACGGTACGGTATTGCGAACCTTGCTTTGAAGTATTCATAATTCCCACTGAACCCATTTCCTTTATCATCATTATGATCTGCAGTTATTTTGAGTATCAAATTCAGCTTTCCAAGAACCCTATGCATAGTTATAAATCAAATCATCTTTACTGTCTTTAGGTTGATGACTTTTTTGTAGGGACTCATAAGGACATTTAGTTTCTGTCTTTGCATGTTGTTCTTGTGATGGTCTTGTGCCTAATTGGTCTCTCTAGATATTGGCATACCTTTAAGTACCTCTAAGGATGATGGGTCTCTTGTTGGCCCCTTTGTAATTGTTAACATGTTGAAGATGACAATTGAAATCCTAGTAGAAACACTGTCTCATGAGGTCATAGTGGTTAGACAAACCATGGAATGTCGTATTGCATATTAAACCCTTATTATTGGCTAGACTGATACGTACCAGTTGACACCGGTGTACTAACACATGGCACACCGGTATATACCAGTGTTCTAAAGACAAATAAGAATGAGAAGAGGACGGCACAATTGAGGAAGAGAAAGAAAGAAGAGGAGGCTGTGGAGGAAGAGGAAGGAAGAAGAGGAAGAGGAGGAAGAAAAAGGAAGAGAAAGCGGTGTAGGAAGAGGAAGGAAGCGTACTGGAGATAGGTGGCACCAGCTGAGAATGGTAGTGGCCGCAGTATCGGTTTCATGCTCCCTGTAAGAAGAGGGCTCACTTCGTGAGCCCTAATTGAAGTTTTAAAGTTTTTTTTGTCTATTGGGTTGGACTAGACTGCCCGAAATGGGGCAGTCCGTTTCGGGCGGTCTGTGTACCAATTTATGTGGTACAACCCATTTCATACTGGTCTGGGTGAAACAGAGAATTCTGTTTCAAACTACAATTTGAGTGCCTTCTGTGCAGTCTTGGCATACTTTAAAAAAATTGTGCTTTTGTCAGCCAATGTTTTCATAAACAGCTAGCTTGTGGATAATTTGCTGTTTTATGTGACTGTTATGGATTTTATGTGATTGGCTTTTACCAGGTTATTTTCAAGCAGTTCAGGCCATTCTTAAATCAGAAATTCATCCAACATTCAGCTTCATCCTCATTTTCTTGTGGATTGTATGTGTGAGCCTGAATTATTTTTTCATGTGTTTGTTGTTTGTTAATTTTTGTTAAGGTGTAGGGATAGTTTTTATGTTCACATTAACTTGTAGCTTGGGTTTCTTTCGAGTTAAATTTTAATATTCAAGTGTCTGCCTCTTTTGAATGACATTTATCTTTTCGGTTTAGTTTAACTTGTATTCTCTTTGTTCTTCTGCACCATAGTACAAGTTTTGATTGCTTCACTTGGGAAAAAGGGAAACATGTGCTAGGTTTTTGCATCTTTGACTTTTGTACTAGCACGTTGAGCACATTCTACTTCTGATCGTGCATCCGTAGGAACCTTGCTTCAATGGGCATGAAAGACCTGAAGACTCTGCTGGTCTGGATGTCCAAGATTGTGGCTTTCCCCAAGAAATTCCTGCATTAAATTCAGCTGATTTTGGCACCTTACAAGTCAATCCGACCAATCATAACATGATTGTCTTGGAATTGTTCCTTGATCCATTGGCTGTCTGTACTGGAGCATCCTTGGTTGCACAGAATCAAGGAAGTGTAGTTTCATCTCAAATTGGAGAAGAGCCTTTTGATCAGATTCAGCAATCTTCCCAACAAAATGATGTGCCACTGCAGGTGCCAGTTGTATTATCATCTTTGCTGGTTGGACAGTCTAATCCTCTCGTCCCCCAGTTTATTGAGAATTCAGTGTTACCAAATTCAGAAAGGAGATTGCAAGGAAATATCAGTGAAGATTTAACATGCACTTTTACTCAACCAGAATCAGTCCATTATCCCCTCTTTCCATTTGCACAGTTGATGCCAACTCAAGGGCTTCATCCTGAGCCATTGAAAAATGAACTGACTAGAATACGAATACATGAGGATATAATTTCTAAGATGCATGATGATAAGGTTTGTTTTCTGTTACCAATATTCAAATACTCTTCTTGCCATCATTTTTGCTCATTATCATTGATAGTTGTATCTTGTTATTTTTTGTACAGAAATCAAAACTTAAACTAGAGTGTGACAAGGAGTTAGATCAGGTAAGGAGAAGATACGATGTGTTACTTCAGGATGAGGAGTCGCAGTTTCGTCAGAACAAAGAGATTCTTGAAACCATTTACAACAAAGTTTTCATGAATCAAGTTATAGCTGAAGAGTTCAGGGCCAAATTTATTGATAACAAGGGAAGAGCTTCTTCGTCTTCGCAAGGTATGGAATGATTTCTAAATCAGCTTGGCACTTGTTTTCTGTTGAAATCTCTCTTTTAGTATTTTTAAACATTTTTTTGTCCCGCAAACATATATGCATGTTACATGTGGCTTTTCTGGATCTTTAACATAGAACTTGATTTAGCATCAGTGCAATACTGTAAGTACCTCATCATTTCAGTGTCAAGGTGACTAATGCACTATTGCACTTTGATTAGCTCATTGGTTATGAGTTGCAGGTGGAAAATTTGATCAATGTTGCCGTTCTACTTTTAGGCACAGTTGTGCTTTACCTTCTTGTAATTATTTTAAATTGGACTGGGTTAGTGGAACAGATGGGAAGTTTAGGTAGAGTTACTATCGGCTACTCAAGGTTTAGGCATTAGTTGAGTAAGTGGCGGGATATATGCTGCCAAGATAACATGAAGCGGTAATCATGCTTCATGTCTTTTGTTAAGTGTGCATGCTTTGACATGACTTCTTTTAGTATATTCATATCTCCATTATTGTGTATTTTTCATTGTATTTTGTTGTGCATGTATACTGTATCAAATATATATGAATGGTTTACGCACAGGCCTTCCGTTAGATCTTTGACAAAAAATGGTTGAAACATATCCAAATTTAGATTATGTAAATTGACCAAGATCCAAAATATAAACAAGCCTAGAACGAAAAGGTATCAGTGATTTGGAATTTTGGATGTCCTTTTTGAAATCTGGAAACTGAGACTATATATATCTACTTTCTGAAAACATGTTTAGATATATGAATTCATATGGTTTAAAATTTTATATAATACATTTATGCATGTAAAAGTCTGTTTTAGATCTTGACAATATATGTTTTTCTTCCTAGGCTTTTCATAGTTGCAGATCATGATTTATGAAGTTGATCTCGAAAGGGTTACTTATGGTGAAATCACCATGCAGAATTCTGATGGGATACCTTGGTGTATAGATGCGTATTTTCAAGTATGTATATTTTTGAACTTATATAGAAGAAGTGGGGATTGTTATGTTTGTGTGGTTCCTATAAAAGATCTAAAAGAATCTACTTTAATGTTTTCAATTGTTTCACATCATGCTTACTCAATTGTTTCGCATCTAAAGGAATATCTCTAACCGTCAAAATTTATAATTATAGGAGCTTTAAATGGTCACGTAAGAAAAATATATTTTGAATTTAAAGGGATGCATGAGGGACTTTCATTACGGGAAGAGAAATGAAGAGGGTGATATGATTTTGGATTTTACCACTTCGTATAATCTTATAATTATAAATACTCATTTCAAGAGAGATGAATATTTAATTAGTTATAAGAGTGTTAACAACTAAGGTCAGATATCACTAGAGAGTTAGATAAAGTTATATGCAAGAACTATAAATTTTCATATAGTGAAAGCTTCATGAATTATTAGATATTTATTGTAGAAAATGGAAAGAAAAGATAGTAGAAAAATTTAGACTAGATTATGAAATTTTAAAGATGATAATTTAAAGGATTTTAAAAATAGGATGGAATGAGAGATGGCTTAGAACCTACATGAGGATGATATTAATATTATTTGAACTATGATGGCAATAAGATTCGGAGCCTAACAAGAGATTTTTTGTAAACTAAAGATAGAGGTACAACCTTAAGAGAGTTGATGGTATGTGGAAGTTTAGAAAATAATTATTATTAAAAGATTATGCTTTGAAGATTGGAAAAATTATAAAAATAAAGAGAAATTTAAAAGATATATGAATCTAATAAAGAGGCAAAAAGAGCAATTAGCATGACAAGATATAAAATTTATGATAATTTTGTAATAAATTAGATACTAAATTTGAATATATATACATATATATATATATATATATATATATATATATTGAATTGCTAAAGCTAGGGAAAGTAAGTGTAAGGATTTAGATAATATTAAATGTATTAATGATGAAGATTAAAAAATACATGTTAATAAGAACAAATTAAAGAAAAATGGAAAATTACTTTTAGAATTATTTAATTATTCCACAAATGATTTAACTTTAACAACAGATAATAGTGGTTATCCCTAATGAAGTTTGGAAAAAGATTGAAAAAGTTTTGATAGTATCCCTATTGAGGTTTAAAGAAGTTTAGGGGACTAAGGAATAACTTAGTTAACTAATTTAATAAAAATTTGAGATTTAGAAAGATGTCTGATGAATGGAGGAAGGACTTTTTAGTGCCAATTTAACTAATTTAGTTTTGTGCTAAGATCAACAATAGAAGCCATTTATTTCAGGGATTGCTGTATCGCTCGAATTAGTATGGTTTGGGTGGTATGCATCGGTCCAGGCATGGACCAATACACGGACCACCCTGTTTTGAGTGGTCTGCATTAAAATAGTAAAAAAAATCAAAAAGTGGTGGGCCCTAGTCCATTTCAGCATTAAAAGAAAAAGCATAATAGGGCTCTTCTCGTGTATGAAGCTGTGACACTACCTCTTCGCCACTACGATGTTGTAGCGGTGTTGCCTCTTCGTTGCTTTACCGCTATAGTGACTCTACCTCTTTGCTGATTCGCCATTGCGATGCTGCAATGGCGTTGCCTCTTCGTCACTTCGCCACTGTGATGCTATAGCAGCACTACCTCTTCGCCGCTGTGATGCTGCGATAGCACTGCCTCTTCGTCGCTTTGCCATTGTGTTGCGATAGCGGCACGACCTCTTCGTTGTTGTGATGCTATTGCTTCCCTTCGACGCTGCCGTTGCCCAGGTACTGCTGCGCTTCTCCTTTTCTTTCTTCCTTCCTTTCTCCTTCCTCTTTAACCTCTTTTTCTTGTTTAAACATCGGTATGGATCAACATACCATGTGTCGGTACACCGGTACGAAGTAACACGTGTTGTGCTGCTGATCAGTCGGCACACCGACTCGGACCGGCAATTCAAACCTTGATTTATTTATTAAAACAATTAATGAAAAAATATATAGAGAAAATGAAAGACTTACAATAGGTTTTTATTGCTTTAAAGGAAGCCTATGATAAAGTTTCTAGTGATTTATTATAGTGGGGTTTAGAAAAGAAAGGTGTATCTACTGATATATTGATGTTACAAAAGATATTTATGATAATGTAACCATTAGTCTTAGAAGTCTGCCTAGTGAGTTTTTTGTTAGTATAAGACTACATCAAGGATCTGCATGAGTCCCTACATTTTCACACTAATAATAGATGAACTTACTAGTACAAACCTCCTTATTTGACATTATTTATGTCTTACTTGATGAGAGTCTAATTGGAATTAATTTTAAATTTAAGTTGTGGTCATAATGCTTAGAAATTAAAGGTCTTAGATCAAGATTGAAACTTAATATATGAGATGTAATTTTAGTAATACTATGGGAATAGACAAGAGGATATCGTCAAGTTGGATGGTAAAATGTTCTATTAAGTAAAAGATTTAGGTATCTTATATCAATTATTCAATAAGATATAGAGATTCATGAAAATATTATTTATAAAGTAAAAATATGATAATTAAAAAGGTGAGGGGCAATAGGAGTCCTTTGTGATGTTTAAGTACCTTTGAGATTGAATTAATAATTTTATAAGAGAACAATGCTTTATGGATCTGAGATTTAGGCAATTAAGAATAACATATACAAAAAGTATGTTGAAGTGGATGCATCGAGTTATTAGGAAAGATAACAAATGACATATTTTTATTTGTGAACAATTAGGTATCGTCTCAGTAGAAGATAAAATTAGGAAGAATCTTTTAAGATTTACATGTGCTTAGGAGACTTATAGATGTGACAATTAGAAGAGATAAAATGATTACAAATAGGATGAGGACAGAGGAAGACCTAAAAATTTTTAATAGAAACTATAATTAAAGATTTAAATACCTTTATCTATATATCTGACTTTCAGTGATTTCAATAGGCGCTCGGGCGAGGCGAGGCCAGGCGAGGCTCGAGCGCCTCGCTTCATTTCTAGGCGGCGCACTTTAAAGAGGTGCCGCCTGGGCGCTTGCCCGAGCCCAGGCGTCGAGCGCTCGGGTTAAACCAGGCGACCGAACCAGCGTTTTAGGTCTGGTTCGATCTCCGATGCTTTAGTTGGTTCAATCGAACCAACTAAAGCACTGATATCAACCTTCCTCTCACGACTTCCCAACCCTAACCATGTTTGCCGCTGCTCGTTGCTACCGCTACCGCTGCCACTATCGTCGCTCCTGCTGCTCCCGTTGCCATTGTTGCCACTGCCGCTGTCGCTGCTTGCTGCTACCGCTGCCACTATTGTCGCTCGTCGCTCCGACTTCCGCTGTCGCTACTCGCCACTACCGTTGTCGTTGCAACTGTCGCCGCTCGTCGCTCCCGCTCTCGCTACCACTGCTCGCTGCTACTGCTGTCGCTTGTCACTCCCACTGCCGCTTCTTGTTGCTACCGCTGCCGCTACCACTGTTGCCGCTTGCCTCACCCGCTCCTGCTCTCGCTATCGTTGCTCGCTGCTACCTCTTCTCACATCAACTCAATAGTATACTATTAACAGTATATAAACATTATACTGTTAACAATATTTTTTTATTTATTAGATTAATAATATATTATTTTGATTTTAATACTGCTATTTTTTATTTATTTGAAATTATTGTTATTGTTTTGAATTTTAAGATTTTTTGTTAATGTGATATTGTGATTTTGTAAGATTTTTTAATTTAATATCATATTTTTATTTAAATAATTATATTTATTAATTATATTATATGTTTTTATATTTTAGCGTCTCGCTTCGCTTGGGCGAGCGCCTAGCGCCTCAAGCGTTTTTGGACCTTAGCACCTAGCGCTTTTTAAATAACTTATGACTTTTACATAACCTATTGGCAGCAAAGATCGATGTAATTGACTCGACCCTAAATAGTTGGACTTTATGACAAGAATTGTAATACCATCTGAAATGGTACGAACGGGCGATATGTACCAATCTGATTATGGATCGATGCGCGGAATACTCTTGTTTCCTATCTCAGACGATCCGTTCCAACTCAAATAAAAAAATTAAGACAGTGATAGGCCTGTCCAACTCAGCATTAAAAAAGAAAATATACCTAAAATAGCAACCACAAGCCCTCTTCTTGCAACAATATTATCGTTGTTGCTGCTTCACAAGCCTTCTTCTCATTGCCGCTGACATCACCAAGCAATGTTTCTATCGTCTCTATTGCCATTCGACATCGTGTGAGCCTTCTCGTTGTTGCCATCTTCTCGTGATGTTACTATCGTCGCTATTGCCATTCGGCATCGCACGATTCTTCTTCTCGTTACTGCCGTCTTCTTGTGACTATCGATGCTGTTGTTGTCGTCATTGCTCTTTGATGTCACCGCTGCTGTCTTTTGTTAGTTTCTATCACCCTAGGTACACTCCCACCTCTTCTCTTCTTCCTTCTTCCTTCTCCTTTGCTGCTTCTTCCATCTTCCTCCACCGCTTCCTCTTTTAACTTCTTCCTCTTCCTCCACTTGTCCTTTTTCTCCTTTTTCTTCCTTTACGTACTAGCACGTACATGCTACCTAATAGAAAACACTCGAAAACATGGAAAACGATAGAAAACAAGAATCGGAAAGCGTCATGGACAAGTGTCAAACACCTTGGCCACATTGCTCCATGACAACATGGTACACCAATACTAATCATATGTACCGGTCCAACCAGATCACTAAAATGGGTCTGGCACTCGAAATGGCAATCCTTGCTTTATGGTTTTGTTGTTGTTGTTGTTGAACGACAGTTTGAACTTCATGTGAATCCATTATGATGAAATCTGATTATACACAAACAAGATAAGTCCTTTTCATGTGAATTGAATTTGGCCTCACAAATAAGCACATGAATTAAAGTTGGAAGTTGAGGAAGGAACATGTGATTGTGACTTTGTTTACTGAGTTATTTTACCAGGGATTGAAAAATGGCTTCAAAGAGCCAGGTTGGTGGTTTATCGCCACTTTTCACTTGGATTTCTGAGACTTTCTTAGCAGCTTGGTTCCTTAAGCAAATTGAAGGTCCATTTTTTTGGTTATTACGTCGATCATTCTGGTATCTTTATATGAAATCATTCGAGAAAAATGTATTTTAGGCATAATTTATCTTTCTTGATTTCTTTTTTGTTTTTTTTTCTTGCTCAGTTGTCTCTTTTTATGATTATTTGGTTCAACCTATTGATGAGCAGATACTGACATCATTCTTTTATTACCCTCTCTTTGAGTTCCAGCTCAGCGAACAATGCAGCAGTTACTTCAGTCATCCCAAACTCAGTTTTTCCAGAGATCTGTGTCACCGTCAACCTCTGTCCCTACTGCACTGTCTACTGTACTGCCTGCTGTAGCCCCAACCTCACTTGTGTCGGTCAGGCTTCGAGCCTCATCCATTTCTTCTGGACAGATAGCCCGCCTGATCACTCCAGTCTACTCAAGTAATTCAGTTAGACCTCACTTCAGCCCGATGCTTCCATCCCTGGCAAACCTTCAAATTGGAAGTGAAACCCGTGCGCCTGCTCCACATCTGCATCGATTCAGAACTAACACATCCATGCCCTCTCAGAATCTAGTTTGTACAAATGGGATAACCAGTCAGCAGCACTATCTTGTGAATGTAGGTTCAGCTACCATGGAACAAGTTGCATCTGTCCCTACGAGCAGAAGGTCATCTGTTTCAAATACTCTATCTGTTTGTCGGGGTTCCTCCCCATCTGATGTTGAGTTTCATGTGGATACTGAGGACTCCGGACGAGCTAACCAGCCTAACTCGTCCCAGTTAGCTGACTTTACACCAAAATTCAATAGTTGGTCCTCAACTAATCGTACTTCAACAACTTGCGGATTGTCTCAGTCACGTTGATGTTGTCAGGTTGCCTTTTAACTCAGAGGTAGTCTGATCTTTATAAGTTCCCAGTCATCCATCCTCATATTTTTATACCATCTGTCGATAACAGTTAATAACCTTGGAAAAGTTCGTCCTTCCAATCCAGTATAGAGCCAGAAGGAAAGACACGAGGCAAGTCAAGGAGGGGTCAGGTCTGGTAAATTTTACCCCTCTACTTGTATATCTATTCTATTCCATCCTAGAATTAGATAGCTGAACCAATTTGTTGTCATGGCCCCATTCTGATCTGTGAATAAGCGGGCCAAATTTTAACCAGGATGCAGTTAGCAACTGAATGGCAATCGTCAAATAATTGCAGGTATCTAAACATTAACTTGGGTCATCAACTTCCATCATAGAATCTTTTTGTGAGCTCAGATAAATATGGTACGTGGTATCTTGCGTGGCTTCCCTATAACTTCGATCAGTAAGAATGCTGTGCATGATTGCTATATGTGACCCAGATTTCTGTAAAGCTGTACCACGGAGGTAGTTGATTGTGAAACGTGTTCATGAGTATTTTGAGGGGGTTAATGCCATCCGGTGCCTTGACAAGTGAGAGCTTTCAATTTAAGCTGCTAACCAGAAATTTAGGATGAATTTGAGTGGATTATAATAACAGTTGTTTTCTCAATTATTTGTGACCTGAAGATTGGAGGGACATAGAATGCGTCATTAATTCTCATTATGAGTGTTTAGATTATGGTCATCCTTCAGAATAAATTTCCTCATCCTGAAACTTCATTCTGAACTTTCCCACAGGAATCGCTTCAATATAATTTAATAAATATATAAAAATACTTTAAATTATTTGCTTATGTTAATTATTTTTATTATAATACTGTTTTTCGTTTATTTTGAATATAATCATGAAATTCATAAAACAAATGTGGTCTTGTTTCGATCTTGAATTGCATAAATCCAATATGTCTATCTTATATGATATGAAAAATATTGCTAATTTGATGCATCCAACGATGAGAATGTATGTATATATGTGAGCTGGGGAGGGGAGCACCATCCCATTTCGCATCGAATACCTTATCGAGCTCTTCGATCGAGGATCATATCTTCTCTCCCATTAGGAATACCTTATCCCATTTTGTCAGACCTATGCGGTTTCTACTCGAGTCTCGCTCTAATCGGATTCTCCCGGAGAACTCTTTCTCTCTCAACCTGAATGACTCTGGCCAGGGATTTGTTTGAGCATGAACACATGGGATATTCCTCTCATGACGCTGAGAGTGGATGATCCTCTATCGACACTCAATAGCCCTCGTAAGGTCGACTACCACTCCCAATGACCAGCTATACTAGATTTGGGACAACCAAACTTATAAGTCTGGTATCAAAGAGTGGAGCACTCATACAGGACATCCTTGGTGTCACAAGTCTAAGGACTAGATACACCACTAGGACTACGGAATCACTGTTTGATAATAAGGCATCATCAACCATCTAGTATTCTGTAAGCGGATCAATCAATGAACTCATTTTCCAATGAGCACCTATATTGTATCCCTAGTGTCCCTATACGAGCAGCTATGAGACCAACTGCATTCATCATATGGACGGGTATACAGCACACCAGTCTGTCCGATTATCACAATGTCCCTCTCGAGTAACCTATGACCGGGATTATTTAGGATCTGTGTTTAAAGGTGAATCGATCTCATTATCGTGATCTCATCACGATCCGATTCCCATTGCACAAATTCAAGGACATCACAATATATATATGCACATATGCAATAGTTTTAAAGTGATATACGCCAAAAATGTAATAAGTAAAAAGATTCTGTATCAAGTCACACGTGCCATCACTCACGTGATTAGCTTGCTGGGCACCTATGACTAGTAATCTCCCACTTGACCTAAAGTCAATCACCTATGTGTCTGATCCCCATCAGACCCCTGTGACGCTCAAAGACAATCTGAGACAACGGCTTTGTTAGTGGATCTGTAATATTATCTTCGGATGGAACTCTTTCCACTGCTACATCTCCTCGGGTTACGATCTCTCTGATAAGTTGGAACCTCCTCAGAACACTTTTGATGTGACCCGGGTTTCCTTATTTGAGTAATCGCCCCGTTGTTGTCGTAATATAAGGAGATCAGCTCCTCGCTACCTGGCACGACTCTTAAATCTGTAATGAACTTCTTCACCCAGACTCCCTCCTTTGCTGCATCTGATGTAGCAATGTCCTCCACCTCTATGGTCGAGTCAGTAGTGGTATCTTGCTTGGAATTCTTCCAGCACACTGCTCCTTCATTCAAGGTGTACACATACCCTGAATTCGACTTGCTATCATCGACATCAGACTGAAAACTTGAGTCAGTGTAGCCTTCAACTTTAAGGCTATTACCTCCATATACTAGTAAAAGATCCTTAGTCCTTCTCAAGTACTTAAGGATACACTTTACTGCTTTCCAGTGCTTAAAGCCTGGATCCACCTGATACCTGCTCGTGACACTCAGAGCTTGCGTTATATCAGGCCTAGTACATAGCATGGCATACATGATAGACCCTATTGCTGAGGCATAAGGTATCATATCCATGTTCGCCCTTTCTTCTGTAGTCTTTGGGGACATACTCGTAGAAAGCGATATCCCATGTCTCATCGGTATGAGACCTCTCTTGAGGTTTCCATGTCAAACCTTTTGACAATGGTTTCTATGTACCTGGACTGGAACAAGCCAAGCATCCTTTTGGATCTATCTCTATAGATTCGAATCCCCAAGATATAGGATGCTTCCCCTAAGTCCTTCATGGAGAAGTGTCTAGATAACCAAGATTTTACTATGGATAGCATTCCTACATCATTCCCAATGATCAGGATGTCATCCACATATAACACCAAAAAGGTGATAGCACTCCTACTTACCTTCCTGTACACACAAGGCTCATCTTCGTTCTTTTCGAAGTCATAAGATCTGATTGCCTCATCAAATCTTATGTTCCAACTTCGGGAAGCTTGCTTTAGTCTATAAATAGATCTAAGCAACCTACACACCTTATCTGGGCAGTTTGGACATGAATTCCTCATGTTGCATCATATACACCTCCTCCTCGATGTTCCCA